GAAGATGATAGCGTCGTCGAGAAACGACCGAACACCAGGAATGTCGGCTATCATGCTGTCAACCACAGTCTTTGGAATGTTCCAGGCGCTGACTTCACCCCTGGAGCGAGCCGGTTGAATTGGAAGAGGCCTCGATGCGTGTTTATGGTGAGGAGCTTCTTCGATTCTTCATCTACTTCCACTTGCAGGTATGCATCGGAAAGGTCGATGATACTGAATATGGTGCTTTCGTTGAGCTGTGTGAAGATCTCCTCCGGGTTAGGTAGAGGATAGTGGTTTGCTTCAAGCGCTTCATTGAGTCCCGTGGAGTAGTTCGCACTGAGAAATCGATCGGCTCGATGATTCCCAGAGACTGAAGACGTGTTAATTCTGCATCCACCAGCGGAATCCTGTTGAACGGAACTGGTCGCTTCGAACAGAAAACTGGTTTGGCGTTAGGTTTGAGGAATAACATTACCTTGGTTTTCTTGCAGTGGCCCAGCGAGTCGTCGAAAACCGCCGGATGCTCGGCTTGCATCCTGTGCTCTAGCTTCGGCGAAACATGGTCTGGATACAGCAGAAACTTGATTGCAGAGAGTATCGAACGGAACCGACCACAGGTTGAACATGTCGAACCAATCAATACCCATTACGTTGAGATCTGGTGATGACGTTACGAAACACTGACCACGCTTGACCAGGGAATTCTCCGATGAGAGCGAGTGGTCCACCAGATGCGTTGGAGGCTTCGATCGATGATGGAGCTAGCTTTGGTCGTCTCAGTTGCTGCCAAGTTTTCTTGGAAATCACCGTGATATCACTTGCAGAGTCCAGTTGTAGCGAAGTCATGACACCGTTGATGTTGATGGTCACATACTTGCGTTTCCGGTTGCTGTTTGCGATGTGCTTCACGAAAATTCCCTTGGCTTGAGATCTGGGACCGGCCTTCTTCTGGAACTGCTTCTTCTCTCGAGGTTGAGTTGAAGAGTCGCTTGAAGACTTCCTGATGCAGCTACAGTAGCCTTCTTTATGACCGATGCGGTTACATACCTTGCAGAGATGATCAGAAAATGGACAGTCACGGACGTAGTGCATCTGACCACACTGCCAGCATGGAGTACGAGGAGTGGACTTGCTTTCCGTTTTCAGTGGACGATGCTGGTTTCCGGGTTTCTTCTCCGAAATGCTATGGACCGAATTCTTCGAATTTGATGGATGTTCGATCATCGTAGTGTCCGACTTCACAGCAAAAAAATAATTTTGATATCACGTCAAAGTGGATGCACTACAATCATGTCGAAAATATGGTGTAATATTACTTGCTAAAAAGGACAAAATTATCATTAATACAATGCATGAACTGACATTACGCTGCTTTTACTGCATTTGTTTATTTATGTGGTCATAAAAATTACATGAAATTTTCGACATGATTGTAGTGCATCCACTTTGATGTGATATCAAAATTATTTTTTTGCTGTGTTGATGTTGATGAGCCGCTGGAACTCGTCGATCCGAGTTTGAATTGTCACCGGAGCATCAGCCGTTTCACCTTCAATTTGGGATAGAAGCCTTGCTCGAATGTCCGCGTAGCGTGGTGCTTTGAGACCACAGACGAAAATCAAGCACTTGAAGTGATCAATCTTCAAATTCTGGAACTCGAACCCTTCACATGCCCTGTTGACTTTTCCGCCATAGGTGATTATGTCGTCGGCCTCGGACTTGAGTAGCTGCATGCACTGGTAGCGTTCGTGGAATACGGAGGTCGGTCTGCCGAAGATCTTTGTGAGTGTCTTAACGGTATCGGCAAACGTGACGTCCTTTGGTAGTTTCGGAAGGATGTAGTTGACGTAGCGACTGTGAGAGGACGTGTCCAACTTCCGGAGCAGAAGCCTAACTTTTGCTGCGTCGTCCAGACTTCGTGCGTCGCTTTCAAACAAATCCGAGTAACGGGCAAACCATTTTTCGAATGTGGTGCCGTTCTCCGGATCGAAGCAGATCTCGCTGATGTTCGTCGACAGGGATTCCAAAACTTGCTCTGGGTTCGTTGCTTGTGGAACGGCCAACCGCTGGAGAAGCTGCAAAATCGCTGCTTGGAGTTCTTCGTTTGTCGCCGCCATCCTTCCTCGGTTCGATTCTGGAATTTCTTGAACTTGTGAGCTTCGAGAAAAATCCTCGTCGCCAACTGAAGTGTTCTTCTCAAAGAATAAAGAAAGTTTGAGTGCTTCTAACTATACGTTTATTCAGGTTGACATCTACACTTCGAATCACAAATTTTTCCATCTCGGTCGCTGCGATTACTTGAATGGAACATAGTGATTACTTGGATGGAACAAATACTAATCATCTTCCGGAGGCCCTTGGTCTTCTAAACAAATTTGCTCAAAACTCAAACTTTCTATCAGGTCGGAATCACGAGATAAAATAATTTCAAAAATGCTCAATTTTGCATGCCCAGTAGCGCCACGTAGTGTTAGAATTTCGAACCAAGCTGAAATACCTTCTGAACGCCCTTGTCCCTTTTCTGAAGACTCGAACTTACTAGGTGGTCGGAATCGCAGGATAAAACAATCTAAAAAATGCTCATAGTGAGAGAATTCCGAGCTATACCGACCATCTTCCGGACGCCCTTGGTCTTCTGAACAACTTTGCTGAAGACTCGAACATTTTAAGTCGACGCGAACACGAGATAAAATAAATCCAAAAATGCTAAATTTTACATGCACACTAGCGTCACGTAGTTTCAGAATTCCGAACCAAACTGTCCACTTTCATACCTAACGTCCACGATATTAGGCCAGCAACAATTTCAATTCCAGTTCCAATTATGTTGGGTACTATTGAGGCCATTACCACTACTGTGTTGTCTGACTTATAGCGAATATACGTTGCATACGAGTACCCTGAATACAACGTATAGTTCGTCTGTCTGTCTGTCTGTCTGTCTGTCTGTCTGTCTGTCTGTCTGTCTGTCTGTCTGTCTGTCTGTCTGTCTGTCTGTCTGTCTGTCTGTCTGTCTGTCTGTCTGTCTGTCTGTCTGTCTGTCTGTCTGTCTGTCTGTCTGTCTGTCTGTCTGTCTGTCTGTCTGTCTGTCTGTCTGTCTGTCTGTCTGTCTGTCTGTCTGTCTGTCTGTCTGTCTGTCTGTCTGTCTGTCTGTCTGTCTGTCTGTCTGTCTGTCTGTCTGTCTGTCTGTCTGTCTGTCTGTCTGTCTGTCTGTCTGTCTGTCTGTCTGTCTGTCTGTCTGTCTGTCTGTCTGTCTGTCTGTCTGTCTGTCTGTCTGTCTGTCTGTCTGTCTGTCTGTCTGTCTGTCTGTCTGTCTGTCTGTCTGTCTGTCTGTCTGTCTGTCTGTCTGTCTGTCTGTCTGTCTGTCTGTCTGTCTGTCTGTCTGTCTGTCTGTCTGTCTGTCTGTCTGTCTGTCTGTCTGTCTGTCTGTCTGTCTGTCTGTCTGTCTGTCTGTCTGTCTGTCTGTCTGTCTGTCTGTCTGTCTGTCTGTCTGTCTGTCTGTCTGTCTGTCTGTCTGTCTGTCTGTCTGTCTGTCTGTCTGTCTGTCTGTCTGTCTGTCTGTCTGTCTGTCTGTCTGTCTGTCTGTCTGTCTGTCTGTCTGTCTGTCTGTCTGTCTGTCTGTCTGTCTGTCTGTCTGTCTGTCTGTCTGTCTGTCTGTCTGTCTGTCTGTCTGTCTGTCTGTCTGTCTGTCTGTCTGTCTGTCTGTCTGTCTGTCTGTCTGTCTGTCTGTCTGTCTGTCTGTCTGTCTGTCTGTCTGTCTGTCTGTCTGTCTGTCTGTCTGTCTGTCTGTCTGTCTGTCTGTCTGTCTGTCTGTCTGTCTGTCTGTCTGTCTGTCTGTCTGTCTGTCTGTCTGTCTGTCTGTCTGTCTGTCTGTCTGTCTGTCTGTCTGTCTGTCTGTCTGTCTGTCTGTCTGTCTGTCTGTCTGTCTGTCTGTCTGTCTGTCTGTCTGTCTGTCTGTCTGTCTGTCTGTCTGTCTGTCTGTCTGTCTGTCTGTCTGTCTGTCTGTCTGTCTGTCTGTCTGTCTGTCTGTCTGTCTGTCTGTCTGTCTGTCTGTCTGTCTGTCTGTCTGTCTGTCTGTCTGTCTGTCTGCATAACTCGAGAACTAATCAAGCAAATGCAACCAAATTAGGCATGTGGGGGTATAAGGAGATAATAATAGGAGGTAGCCCCTTAGATAATAGGGGGGGGGGGCAAGACCGGGCACACTCAGCTAGTTGTCTTATAAATATTGCGTGTCGGTTAAGATTTCACAGTTTTACGAGAGGTTGAAATCCGGGTCAATATGACCCTAATGTCTTATGTGTTACTTTTTCTTAATATCCGAGGAAGGGTAAAGACTCAGTTTTGAAAATCTAAAATATTGAACAACCTCCGATCTCATATTCGAAAAGTAGCGGTGAAGATATGTGAATTCATTTCGTCGATCTCGTTGAAGATTTTTTCAATATACACCTGGCATCCCTGGCGTCATCCGCCGCTCATTGTGAAATGCTCCGAACAAATTTGATTGCAAAGTTTCCCACCCCTGGTTGTGTATTCGTCCATTTGTCTATGCGTTGCTTCCAGCTTCGCACAAGCGCAGCGCTCCGGTATCTGTCGCTTGCATTCTAGCAAAGTTGCCAGTCTTCTTCATATATTGTCTTCGGGGGAAGGGCGCAGTTCTTTCCGTCACGATAAATTTGCATTCTGAACGACTTCAGTAAGCTCCAAACTGCCGATAATCGTATGACTGTCCCACATGGATAGGAAACCCAGTAACGAATGGGACTGCCATGCGATTATGGGCAGTAAAGTAGTCCCAAATTGGATTACAATCAGCTTTCATATGTCCTGCAGCAGTAGGCCACTCTTAGTTATTGATTCGCATTTTGGTTATGTCGCATTATTTTTCATTCATTTTATACCACATGTATCACCGTTTTACGTTTTCTTCTGTTTTGTTTTTCTTTTCCACATAATCTTCCGTTTTGCTGCGCGCACCTTTTCCTGCCCTTTTCACGTACGTTCCGCAAAAACAGGTGGACATTGTAGTTAGACAGCTATCGACCCTGCAAACGCAGCTCGACACGAAGAAGCGCGATTTCTACGAGTACGTTGCGAAAGAACTGCAGGAGCTGCAGGACTGCGGCAAGTTGGACGAGGTAGTTGCTTGTTCTTTTTTTCCTGCTAATTTAGTTTTCTAGTTTAGTTCTAGTTCAGTTTCAGTTTTGGGTCTGTTGTTGAAAGTATGGTCTTCAAAAAATAGTTGTAATTTGAAAATTCACATGCTCATTTTTTTCCTCCGGAAAATAGGCCAGCATAGAGCTGATCCAGAAGGCTCCCCAGACGGAGGACTATTCGGAGATATTGCTCATCATTTCCAAATCGTTGGACAACTATTCCGCACAATACATCCGGGAGTACATCCGGAGGAATGTGAGTTTAACATGAGTTAACCAAATTTGTTTCCTAACTGATTTTGGTTGTTTCAGCGAGAGGAGCTGGTCAAATACGAACGCGAGCTCGGCGAGAAGGAATCCCTGCTGGAGCAGAGCACCCGCAAGATCGCCGACCTAGACCAAAAGATAGACGATCTGGAACGGCAGAATCAGGAACTGCTGCAGCAGCGAACGCAGCTAGAGATGGAGGATATGCAGAAGAAGAAACAATCGTAAGTAGATCCAAAGATGCTTCCGAAGAAGATGTTTTTGAAATCGACGTCTCTCTTTCTTTCCAGCATGACCCTGAACCTGACCCGAACGACCGATTCGAACGCTCAAACGGACCCGAACGCGAGCGGAAACCCGGAGGAACTTGCTCTCCGGGTGGCGAACGGCGATGCAGCAGCGTCCCGCACCCTGGAAACCTGCGACACCTTCCACACGGCCAATTCGGACTGTTCGTTCGTATCGGCCCTGAATACCCCGGTGCTGGAGGCCCTCAATCAGCAGCTGATCCCGACGCCCAGTTCGACCGAGGGAACGGAATCCGGTGCCGATCACGAATCCGACTACTACGAGGAAGCCGGCCATGTGCAAGGCATGAGCGACAGTGGCGTTAGCTTCGAGACGAACAAGATCGGGGACGGCAAGCTGAACGGAGGCAAGCTCCTGTTCCAATCGGATGACCATTGCTTACTACTGACTTCGTCGACTCCGAATCCGAAGTATGCCAACAAGACGCTGATCGTCAACGGCACCGCTATAGAAATAAGTCGCGGTGGGGAATTGGCGCATGGTTCAACCAGCGATGAGTCGGATGAGAATTCGGATCATGGCGGCAAGGGAGGAAGCAGCAACCGGAGCAATCGATTGGCAGTCGGTAATAAGAGCAGTGTGCGGACGGAGATTTTCGATATCCGACACGGGATTCATCCGCTCCGGCTGAATAGTCGGAGTGGCGGAGAGGATGAAGGTGACGACGAAGAAGACGAGAGGCACTCGCACGCGTCTTCGATGGACAACAGCTCGATAACCTCGTCGACGGCGAATTTGATTCTCTGCGAGATGAACCTGCTGCGGGAGAGCATAGCGACGAAGAAGGCAGAAATCATGAAAATCCTGGAGACCAATGAGGACAAGTCGAACCTGGATGGCAAGATCAGTGAACTGCAGGACCTGCAGAAGAGGATCGTGCAGCTGGAGATTAAGGTTCAGGATGTGGAGAAGAGTTGCCTGTCGGACGAGGGCGGAATCGATTCGATCCGGGATCTGCCGGGCAGTTTCACCGACAGTGACGACAGTCGGATAAACTCGTGCATCTATCCGGAGTACTTGCGGCACCGGAACCAGACCAGTATTTATGCGCCGAGCGTGACGCGCTCGCTGCCGTCGTTCGAGAGTGCGTCGATCGAGCGGATGCGTAAGTAGTAACGACGAACCGCTAGTGGGTGTTTGATTGAGAATGCCTTTTTTTTTGTTTGTTTGTTTTGCAACAGGTTCGGAGCATCTGATCAATATTCCTACGTACATCATCCGAGGAGCCGGCAAGCAGACCCACTACGAATACGAAGTCAAGCTCAACCTGCCCGACGATAGGTGGACGCTGCTTAGGCGGTACAGTCGGTTCCGGGAGCTGCACCTCAGGATGAAGAAGATTTATGGCGATAAGGTAGGTTTTGATGGCTGTGTTGGGAATAGTTTGCTACTCGATTTTAATGGCTGTGCTAGGGGAGGGTGGACTTTGAAAATATTCCAGATGCTTCCCTCTGACGTCTGTGCTAGGAATGTTAAGAATAACTTGAGGCCTCACCGATACAATTTGTGTGTGAGCCTGAAGTAGGAATTATTGCGACAGGATTTTTAAAGTTGTTTAGAGATGAACTAGCCTAAGGCTAAAAATCTCTTAAATAAAGATTAAAAAAAAAAATAATGTTGTAAGTCATTAAATACCCGATTCAATCGCGATTAAGGTCTTATTTACGGAGATAAATGGGTAGAAAGATTTGGGAAACCTAAATTATGATTTAGGCAAAATTACCCGAGAAATTTCGAACGTCTAAACACTTCTCAAATCGTGATTAAAGCCATATTTAGGGAGATAAAAGGGTTTACAAAGCTCTGTAAGCTTACCTGAGCTTCTCTGAACTTCTGAATAGTCCGTCAACTTTTGTGAAGTTCGATTTTTCCATAGTTCATATAAAATTTCCCAAACTTCTAGGAAGTTCATTGGGTTTCAACCAAGTTTTCTGAACTTGTACGACTTCCCTATAATTTATACAATATTTTCTGAATATCTACAAAATTCCTTTAACTTCTAGGAAAATATTCCTCAATTTCTACGAAGTTTTAAGTTCCATATTTTACCCAAGCTCTCTTAATTCAATCAAGATCTCAGAACATCTGTGAACTTCTTCAAACTTCAGAAAATACCCGGAAGCTATTCTAAGAATATTCCTGAATATCTGGGAAGTTTCTTGAAATTAAATGAAGTTTCCAAATCTTCTAGAATATTCATTGAGCTCTTTTTTTTAAGTAAGATCTCTGACGAACTGCTTCGAAGACTCCCTAAACTGATACGAAGATAACTAACGTTCTAAGAAATTTGCTGAACTTTAACGATTTTGTTTAGCTTTTCCGAAATTTCCTGAACTTCTACGAAGTTTGCAGAGCTTCTACAAAGTTTGCCAAACTTCTACGAAGTTTTCTGATTTTTATAATATTCCCTACTCGTCTATGAAGTTTAACGTAGTTCCTCAAATTGCTTCCCAAGTAATACTGCAAGATTCATCGAGATCTCAAAGCATTCAACAAACATTCAACAGAACTCTCATAAAACCAAAATTGTCACTTGGGTATGCAATTCGCTAAAGTTCTACAAAGTTCGCTGAACTAATACGAAGATCGCTGTGCATCTTAATAGTTTGCTGCTCTTCTACGTTTCTCGTTAAATTTCTTCAAAGCTCTCTGACGTTCTATGAAGTTTTCTGAACATGTACGGTAGTCCTTAAAATATTTCTCAATTTCAACGAATTTCTCTAATTTTATTCAAAATTCACTATTTTTTCCAAAGTTTGCTGAATTTATACAAATTTAAATGAATTTCTCCGAAATTATCTGAAGCTCTACAATGTTTCCAGAATTTATATGAAGTTTCATGAATTTCTTTGAACTTTACTGATCTTCTCCAAAGTTCGCAGTAGCTTAAAGAAAAGTCCCGGATGTCAACGAATTTCTCTGAATTTCTGGAAAATTCACAATTTTTTCTCCAAAATTCGTTAAATTTCTATAAAGTTCTCTGAATTTCTACGAAGTTTTCAGAATTTATATGAAATTTCCTGAATTTCTTTGAAGCTTCCTGATCTTCTCCAAAGTTCGCAGGAGCATAATGAAAAATCCCTGGACGTCAACAAAATTCTCGGAATTTCTATAAAATATACTATTTTTAAAGTTCTCTAAATTTCTACAACGCTCCCTGAACTTCTACGCAGTTTCCAGAATTTATATGAACTTTCATGAATTAATACGAAGCTTCCTAAACTTCTACGAAGTTCTCTGAAATTTGAATAAAAAACCCCTAGATGTCAACGAATTTCTCTGAATTATTACAAAATTCACTATTTTTTAAAGTTCTCTGAATTTCTACAAAGTTCCCTGAATTTCTACGAAGTTTCCAGACTTTTTATGTAATTTCCAGAATTTCTTTGAAGCTTCCTGATCTTCTCCAAAGTTCGCAGTAGCTTAAAGAAAAATCCCTGGATGTCAACGAATTTCTCTGAATTTCTACAAAATTCACTATTTTATTCTAAAGTTCTCTGAATTTCTGCAAGGATCTCCGAATGTCTACGAAGTTTCCAGAATTTATATGAAATTTCCTGAATTTCTTTGAAGCTTCCTGATTTTCCTCAAAGTTTGCAGTAGCTTAAAGAAAAATCCCTGGACTTCAACAAATTTCTCTGCATTTCTACAAAATATATTATTTTTTTTTTCTAAAGTTCTCTAAATTTTTACAAAGCTCCCTGAACTTCTACAGAGTTTCCAGAATTTATATGAAGTTTCCTGAATTCATACGAAGCTTCCTAAACTTCTACGAAGTTCTCTGAAATTTAAAGAAAAAACCCCTAGATGTCAACGAATTTCTCTGAATTATTACAAAATTCACTATTTTTTAAAGTTCTCTGAATTTCTACAAAATTCCCTGAATTTCTACGAAGTTTCCAGAATTTATATGAAATTTCCTGAATTTTTTTGAAGCTTCCTGATCTTCTCCAAAGTTCAAAGTAGCTTAAAGAAAAATCTCTGGATGTCAACGAATTTCTCTGAATTTCTACAAACGTCACAATTTTTTTTAAAGTTCTCTGAATTTCTACAAGGATCTCTGAATTCCTACGAAGTTTCCAGAATTTATATGAAGTTTCCTGAATTTCTTAGAAGCTTCCTGACCTTCTCCAAAGTTCGCAGGAACATAAAGAAAAATTCATGTTCCTGAATTTCTTAGAAGCTTCCTGACCTTCTCCAAAGTTCGCAGGAACATAAAGAAAAATTCATGGATGTCAACGAATTTCTCTGAATTTCTACAAAATTCACTATTTTTTCTAAAGTTCTCTGAATTTCTACGAAGTTTTCAAAATTTATATGAAATTTCCTGAATTTCCTTGATGCTTCCTGATTTTCTCCAAAGTTCGCAGTAGCTTAAAGAAAAATCCCTGGATGTCAACGAATTTCTCTGAATTTCTACAAAATTCACTATTTTTTTCTAAAGTTCTCTGAATTTATACAAGGATCTCTGAATTTCTACGAAGTCTCCAGAATTCATATGAAATTTCCTGAATTTCTTTGGAGCTTCCTGATGTTCTACAAAGTTCGCAGTAGCTTAAAGAAAAATTCCTGGATGCCAACGAATTTCTCTGAATTTCTACAAGATTCACTATTTTTTCTAAAGTTCTCTGAATTTCTACGAAGTTTCCAGAATTTATATGAAATTTCCTGAATTTTTTTGAAGCTTCCTGATCTTCTCCAAAGTTCAAAGTAGCTTAAAGAAAAATCTCTGGATGTCAGCGGATTTCTCTGAATTTCTACAAACGTCACATTTTTTTTTCTAAAGTTCTCTGAATTTATACAAGGATCTCTGAATTTCTACGAAGTCTCCAGAATTCATATGAAATTTCCTGAATTTCTAAGAAACTTCCTGGACTTCTACAAGTTCCCTGATATTTAAAAAAAAACCCCCGGATGTCAACGAATTTCTCTGAATTTCTACCAAATTCTCTTTTTTTTTCCGAAATTCACTGAATTTCTACAAAGTTCGCGGAATTTCTGCGAAGTCACCCGAAGCTCTTCGAAGTTTCCAGAATTTATATGAAGTTTCCTGAATTTCTACAAAGCTTCCTGAACTTCTACGAAGTTCCCGGTATCGGTGAAGATACGTGAAGACGTTTTGGTCATCTCGTTGAAGATTTTGTTTCTAAATACACCTGTCATCCCTGTTTACTACTGTAATTCTCGAGGTCATTCACATTTCCTCCTGCAACCCAGCTCCAGGGTAACCCCCCTGGATTCTCTGAACAAAACTGCTACTCCTCAAAAATAAGCTTGACTAACACCAACATTCACCATTCCGTACAGGTCGCCACCATCCCGTTCCCGCGGCGCGAGCTCTTCTCATCCAACACGGAATCGGTGGCGAAAACCCGCCGCCGGCAGTTGGAAATCTACCTCCGCCGGTTGTTGGTCGTCTGTTCGAAGATTCCGCACAGTCCGATCTACGAGGGCGAAGGACGCCCCGGTCTGACCAAGGCCACCCTCATCGAGCTGCATTCGGGCTTCTTCAAGAAGGGCCTGTTCGAGACGGGCAAACACGGAACCGGCTAGAGAGGAGGTAAGAGTTGTCGTTGGGCGTTTGGGCTTTCCTTTTTTTTCTCTCGTCGTAGGGTTTTGTTTTTGGTTTTGAGGAAAGGGTGTGTTTTTTTTAGAAAAGGTAAGCGCCAACCAAGAAATGTAAGGCTGATTTTTTAAACATGAGGAACAGTGTAATTAGTAGCTAGTAGTTCTCGGAAGATTCGTTTCCCGTTATCAGATTTTATTTATTGTATAAAGAAAACAAAAAAATGTTTGCTAGGATTAAGCAATAGGAGGAAGGATGGCAAGCAGCAGCAGCAGCAGGAATATCGACGACAATAAACCCCGCGTTTTGATGAAGAGAAGATCCCTGAGTAGCAGGAATACACCATAAAGCAACTCAATTGACAACAACAGCAACTCAATTGAAAACAACAGCAACAATCTCTTGTTCGATTTCAACTGCATTTTGGTTGACAGAGATTGACCCCCCCCCCCCCCCCAACCGCATTCTTTCAGTGGATTTGTGAATCAAATTCACATGTCTAAAACATCGTCACGGTTAAAAACGGGCTTGATCCAGTTTTGGTCGGAACTCAAAACCGCGAATTCAAAGCCTAGTGATCAATTAACTCAAAGCTAACAAAGCATCATTTAGAGACAAATTATATTTACGACGGATAAGTCAATTTTTCATATATTCGTTCGTGTACTGAGTAGTCGTTAGTTATCATCCCCCCCCCTCCCACACACAATTGCCTTGACTCTCACACACACACCCATATGGATGTTTTTTGCGTGACCATTGTGATCATTTAGACACCTAACACACATATTTAGGAAACAGCTGTGATTTTCCATTGCCCCCATTGTCCCTCATATCACTAAATTTTCTGTTTCGGAACGATTGTCGACGTGTCGAGAGAAGGACCCGAGGGTAATCCATGAATTTGCGCATACAAAGACCTGAGAGACATATAGAAATTAGGTAAATATACGAGTTTAATCAAAACTAGTTACTGTTTAGAGCTAAACTGCAGAAGATAAATCGAATCCGCGTTATATAGTTACTAAAGTGAACAACAAGACCCCCAAAAACACAATGATGTATTCTAGTTGGTAGGTGAAGAATGTAAAACAGAGCTTGTTCCAGACACAGGCAAACCCGTTAGTTAGTGTATTTGTAAGTGTTGACAACCGTTATTCTTCGAAAAAGGTAGCGACAAATATAATAGTAACGAAAAATGACAGGTACTAAACAATGTAACAACCAATGGTCGTCTAACAATTAAACAAAAGAAAATCTTACTATTAGCTAGAAAAAAAAAGAAACCCCTTGGGGGAAACTAGCGAATTTGATGTTGAAATCAAATGAATCGTCAAAATAGTAGGAACACTCACATTTCATTCAAACAAGATATAACTCCAATTCAAACGGCGATTGCAATAAGAGTTTCATGTTGTACAACAACAACAACATCAACACAACAGTAATATAGTTTCTCGATGATTCAGTGATGGAGTTGGTTGTTGGTTTTTGTTGGCTAAAACTGTCCGAACAACCCCCTCTGTATGCAGCAAAAGTGTTTGCAAAATATTTAGGTTAGAATGTCGCATGATTTTGGCTTTCGGCACGCGACCGAACGGGTCGTTTTCTGTTCTTTTTTTTTTTCGTTTAGTTTGATTGGTTGCCTGGGCGAGAACCGATTGGTGAGTTGTGGTTCGTGCCATCAGCATTTCTGATGATGGATCTCGCCATTTGCCTCTTCGAAGGTTCGAGCTAACAGTCTGAGTGGATGCCTGTGAAAGATGCGACTGGTCAGTTGCTTACCGATCCCACTGACCAGCTGAAATGTTGGTTTGAACACTTCGAACAACTTCTTCAAGTTTCGACATGCCAGTGACAAGGCCTATACCAACAGCAGCGTTTGACAGTTGGCAGCATGTCCCGCGCTAAAATCATTTATTTTGCTGTGCTGGGCCCGCTGTCACCGTATAACATGTTGCCTACGCGCCTACCACTGGGCTGAGTTTCGACAATCAACCAGCCAGCAACATTTTGTCGATGATCGTAGTAAGCCGCGCTTGACGGGCGGTAGCTGACGCGCTTATTTTTGTTGCGTGTTTTTCTTACGTGGATTTGGAACTTTTTGCATTACACATCTTGGCGTATTCTGCGCGGCGTGTGAGGTGAGGTGACAGTGAAGTGATGGTAAAATGACAATTGTCACTTCACCATCACTTCACTGTCACCTCACCTCACACGCCGCGCAGAATAGGCCTAATCATTTGTTGGTGCTGTAATTGAGTTATAAGTGATCATGAAATTGTGCTATAGTGGATTGCCTCCTGGGAGGCCGGTTCTCCGAGTTCGGATGGCACACTTTCGGCGTGTAGTTCTATCGAAAGTCTCGTCACCGTGGCCGAGTTTGAAACCTGTTGGCGAATTAGTCCGGGAAATTGTTGATAATGTGTCCATCGCGAATTTCGGTGGTGATTCGGTGGCCGACGTAGCCGTGAACCAGCAAGTTTTTCGCTTGCAGGAGTGCTCGGCTGCTGGTCCCTCACCGATGTCGGAGATTGCGAGCAATCTGAAGGATGCCTCGCTGGATACGCCCAAGACTGGACGGGTGGTAGCTGGTGACCACGAACGGTTCCTGGGGAAAGCACTAGACGCGAACCTCTTCCCAAATGACAATGGCAATGCAAGAACATTTGTTTTCGTTAAAGGAAGTATTACGGTAGGGGTATAAGGTAATTGCTATTAGATATTTTTGCAAATAGTGACACATAGCGGACATGAAGATCCAGTGGTTCTATGCGCTCTGTACATTCCAGCTGATCGAGTCCGCGACAATGAACTCATCGATACTCACTGTCGGTCAGTTTTCACAGTTATCGAATGTGCCACTCCAGTTGATGAGATATTCATTTTTGGTGACTTCAATCTGCCTGGCGTTTCGTGGAGTCCATCTCATAGCGGATTCCTGTACCCAGATCCTGATAGCTCTACATTTCACGCAGGAGCTATTAGCCTTCTCGACAACTACAGCGCAGCGACGCTTTCTCAAATTAACCATGTAGTTAACGAAAATAATCGTAGTTTGGACCTCTGCTTCGTGAGCACACAGGACAGGGCTCCATAAATTTCCTCTGCTCCTTGTTACTAACTAAGCTAGTTCCCTCCTCTTATTGTCACTGTTGAGGACAAACTCGTGCGCAGTGTTGGAAAAGTTCGCGATATTTAACGAAGTTCACCATGGGAAAAGATCGCGAGTCATAGTGAGTTATCGCGAACTTTTCTATCACTGCTCGTACGTGATTTCGACGACTATCCTGCTCCGGTTTCTTATGATTTCCGTAAAGCTGACCACCGTAGCATCATAGATGTATTGTCTAGCATGGTATGGGAGAACATCCTTGATCCAGATGACGTTGAGGCTGCAGCGCAAACCTTTTCACATGTCTTGGCATATGTCATTGACAGACACGTCCCGAAAAGAACTCACCACAAAGTGTCTCACCCTCCCTGGCAGACGAGAGAGCTACGTAGGGTGAAGTCAATCAAGAGAGCAGCATTGAGAAGATTTACAAAGTATCGCACGCTTCCTCTGAAACTACATTATGTGAGGCTGAATCACATGTACCAGCGAGTCAGTCGTGAATGCTTTTCAAGTTTCCAACGAGGCATCCAGCGCAAACTTAAGCTACACCCGAAATCCTTTTGATACTACGTGAACGAGCGACGCAGGGAATCCGGTCCCCCATCGTCTATGGAATTCAATGGAGAAGTTGCTGCCATCCATCTTGCTGAAAAAGGAAGGAAACGAGCTGTGGATAACCATCGAGGAATTACATCGTTAAGTGCCGTTTCGAAGCTATTCGAGCTAGTGATTATGGAACCGTTGCTGTCCCATTGCAAGCAGTATTTGCTGATCAACATGGGTTTACTGTCGGCCGCTCTACAACCACCAATCTGCTGTGTCTCACATCGTATATAACCGAAAGCATGTCGGATCGGGTTCAAACGGACGTTATTTATTCAGACCTATCCGCAGCATTCGACAAGTTGAACCATGCTATTGCGATTGCTCGGTGTATGCGGTAATCTTCTGAGTTGGTTTCGATCATATCTTACCGGTCGGCAACTAAAGGTTGCCATAGGAGATTGCAGATCAGCTAGCTTCTTCGCCACATCAGGAATACCTCAGGGAAGCCACATGGGACCGTTAATTTTTATACTGTACTTCAACGACGTGCATCTGGTCATCGAAGCTCCTCGGTTATCATATGCAGATGACCTCAAAATCTTCCTACGAATCTGCTCCATTGCTGACTGTCACTTTCTTCAACGTCAAATGAATGTATTCGCTAGTTGGTGCAGGTTAAACAGAATGGTAGTGAACCCAGCCAAATGCTCCGCTATTACGTTCTCACGAAAACAACAACCGATAATATTTAGCTATGACCTGCTTGGCTCGACAATCGAAAGCGTGAATCAGGTGAAAGACTTGGATGTGATCTTGGATTCACAGCTTTCATTCAAGCAACGCATTGCATATGTTGTTGATAAGGCGTCAAGGACTTTAGGTTTCATTTTTAGGATAGCTAAAAACTTCACTGATATCTACTGTCTAAAATCTCTCTATTGTTCGTTTGTTCGATCGACGCTTGAGTATTGTTCAGCGGTTTGGAACCCAAACTACAACAACGGTGCCGAGATAATTGAATCTGTTCAACGTCGCTTTCTTCGTTTTGCGTTGCGTAGATTGCCTTGGAATGATCCGTTTCGATTACCCAGCTACGAAAGCCGTTGTCAACTTATCGACCTAGAACTTCTCCGGACTAGAAGAGACACAAGCAGAGTCCTAACCGTGGCCGATGTCCTGCAAGGAAGAACAGATTGCGAGGCTATCCTGAGGCAAATTGACCTAAATGTTCAACCCTGACCGCTTCGTAATAACCTTATGCTAAGACCACAGACAAACAGACGTAACACTTCATTGTGTATCTTCGTTCACGCATTTAACGGTTGATTTGAATATTATCAGTTCCGCGAACTACTCGTCGTAGCGCTGGCATCGGATCACTTTGACGTTTCTATACATTCTATAGAACTTTTATGCAATATTGTTTGCGAGTTAGCGAGCAATCTTGTTTTCCGCGAGAAGCCAGAGAGATGTCGTTACTGAGGTCCTATGTTTTGAGATACTATGTTTTCAAGAAAAACTTTTTCAAAGTGTTACGTCTGTTTGTCTGTGCTAAGACTGCCTCTACGTCGCTCAAATTATGGAGCACACGGTGCGATTTGCGGACTGCAGAGAACATTAAACAGAGTTGCATCTGTTTTCGACTTTCATCGCTCCCGTGATGCACTTCGTCGAAAGTTTTGCCTGCAGGAGTAACTGACTATAAGATATATGTTTTTTAATGTTTTTTATGTTATGACCATGCTTGAATGTATTTTTTTACCATAGTTGATATGGTTAACATCATTGGGCTTCATTCAGCCAAAACAACAATAAACAATAAACAATAAAGCGCAGTTAATAGCCAAAAGTGAATTTCGGGAAAAGTCTTCCACACCTGCGTAGGATATCGTACCCATTCATAACATGCATGGGCCGGGACCAACGGCTTTACTTCCCTTCCGAAGGAAGACGTGACCAGAGATTTTTATGCCTCAGAAAAGTCCCACCGACCTCGGCTGGGATTGAACCCAGACCCATTGGGGTGTTAGAAAGCAGTTACGCTTACCACTACACCACCGGCGCCGGCGATTTCGGGAAAAGTGTATGAATGATCCACTTTGGAAGACATTGTTGGCTGCTTTCGTTGATGTTGTTTCATTTTAAAAGGACTTCGGTCTTCCGGAACACAGAAAAAAAACTAACACGTGGAATTAAACGTAACTTAAAAGGTTTATTAGAACGAATTAAAAAGTGACCCAGCAGGTGCCAAGGCGATCGATTCAAATAAAAACACCGCCTACTGCGTTTTCACCACCTCTCGATCGTCTAGTCCAATCTTCCTTCTTAGGGCTTCAAATCGATCAGCATCCAATGATTTGGTGAAGATGTCTGCTAGTTGATCCAAAGTCGGAATGACTTCCACAGTCAGACTTCCAGCAGCAATGTGGTCTCGTACAAAGTGGTGTTTAATGTCAATGTGCTTGGCCCGTTTGCACCCGAGGTTTTTCGCCATTCCGAGGCATCTTCGGTTGTCCTCGAAAATAGGAACAGGTTCGACGGTCTTCAAGCCAAGATCGCCTAATAGTCCTATGGAAGGATAGCTTCATCCGAT